GCAAATGATTCTGTAGGTCTGTGCTAGATTTTATTCTTTCCACTTTTTATATGTTGTACTTCTTTCAAAAAGACACTGGGGTATAAGCAGAATATGACGTTAAGTAGAAATAATAATGAAGGGAACAAATGTCCATAACCAATATGAGCAGAGAGCTTTTTGTTTTTTATTTTTGCTTTTTTGGTAAGAGACACACAAAAAATTCATGGTCTGTCTTGGGACACCTCTTTCATTGTCATCTTACACTGCTATTTAACCATTAAATATTGCATAATTCCTCATATCTTTCCATCAAAAAAGAAGAGGAAGAAGGCCAATTTGGCTTTCTTTGTGCTCCTTGAAGGTTTCCCAGAGTGCCTTCCAAAGAGGCTCAAAATAAAGTTTTTGTTTGATTCACAGATCCTAAGTCTGTTCATGAGCACTGTGGCATGGGAGAAGTCTCCCCAGATTGGCTGTGTGAACAGGAACAAGCCAACGTAATCTTTCTGGGCCACTATTTCCTCATCTGTAAAAAGAAGGGGCTGGACTCAGTGATGATTTAAGGTCACTTCCAGCTCTGTAAATTCTATGCTTTTAAAAAAAGCTCGGATCCTAAAAAGAGAACATCTTGGGTTTCCTGACAAAAGAGCCCAGGGTGTATTTATGTTTGACCTCCTACCACATTCTGACTTGCTACTTTAATGAATCCGAGTTTATTCTTCACTGAAATGGCTCAGCTCCAGGAGCCCTGGGTGTGATTCTAACACTGTGTAGATATTGATTTTTCTTGCAGGATAGTGGTTACTGTAACCACCACACTATTAAATCTTTCTCCTTTTCATAGGGATGATTCCACCAGTGCCACTCCACTCCCTTCCGTTGATATTTAACTCAATCCAGGGCTAATTTGAAGGTAGCACTACTAGGATCACAATGTCTTAAAATGCTTCCTGGCTGACAGCATTCTCCCTTTTGTCATCTTAGAGCTGTCTATCAAACACTGCAGCACACAGAGGTGGTCAAAGATGGGACCAGGCCTTCTTAGCACCACTTTCTCCTTCACCTCCTCTGTCATAGTTTATAGGTTTTCTTACACTGAACAATGTCAACTGTTATTCAAACAGGTTAGGCTTCCTTCCTTATTTTGTTTGTTCAGGTCTGTAGAAGACACCTTTTACCTCATGGCACCAATAACAGATTGCTGTTTTTATGGCAGTACCACAGATGTTACTCTCAATATACACATCCTTTGTGAGCTACAACAGTAAAATATTGATTCTTGCCCCCTCAGTTTAGAAGTTCACCCCCATCCTCAGTGAGCTTTCCAGTTAGCTAAGGAAAGGCACAGCATGTCAAGCAAGTTATGCTAGCCATTAACTTCCAAATAAAATTTAACAGGGACTTTCATTCACAAGGATTCTTAGGCATTTGCCTCGTTTTACCAGTTAAAATATACACAGTGACTCCGATGTCAATAAAGAATTCTATATCCAGAACCATACTTTGTGGACTCCCTTCAGGAGATGCCATGGTGACCCCAGAGCAGAGGGTGTAATTTAATGAGATTTTTAATGTTTATATAAAACCAGCAATCTGATGAATTTTCTTTAGGTAGGCACTTCCACGGAACTAGCCTAACTGACTGTTCCACACGAAGCATTATCTTTTCTTGTACAACACTGAAAGCTTACATGCTGCTTGACAAATTTGAATTTTAAAAAGCAGGAATGATTGGCACTTGGTAACTTACACAGAAATATAAAGTGGTACAAGAAAATTGCCCATTTCTTTTAGATTTACATTTTATGTATTTTTTTTTCTTTTAAGAAGTGATAAGACATGTAATTTCCATCAACTTCAACCAGTTATGTATGAAAGAGGCTACAAGTTCAGCTCTGCAGAGGAAAAGCAAGTCATGGAGAGAACCGACGTACTGAGAAAAGGCAGACAGCGTTCACAGCTACATTCAGTTCTGGTGCCATGCATAGATGGTCATTTTAAGGCCAAGATCAGAATCTGAAGAGTTAGACCCTTTCCTCTTAGAAAGAACTCTGTTTTCCCTTGGTTCCCTGACCTACCAGCCCCAGTGTCTCACCTATCAATTTTCTCTCCAGGTCTGTTAAACTCAAAGAGAAAAAGGAGGCAGATACCACACAGAGGTATAACCAGAGTTTACAAAGACTTCTCTTTCTTTGTTGGATGCTCCAAATAATTCAGCATGAAGCAATTATTTTTTATTAATTTATTTAGTCAACAAATATTTACTCACATATAATAGCAAAGCACCTGGCAAAGCACCATAATTCCCAGTTAATATTCCTCTTTTGAGTTTCATTTTAATTTTGAAGATATGGGATAATAAAAATAATCGGCAGCTTCAACTCATAACAAAAACCTCTATTTAAGAATCTTGATTTTTTTTTCTGTCCTCTTTTTAGGAATCCTGATTTTTTTTATTCTATTGTGTCAATTTGCACTCTGTATGCTTTTAAGTAAACACAAACGACCTCATGTTCTAACATACATATAAAAATGAGCATGTTGACAAAAATCACACATTTTTTTCTTGGAATTTTCATGAACTTTTTTTTTTTTTTTTTTTTTTTAGTTTTACCAGGTAAAAATCTGCCCTTATTTAAGGTTTAAACAATTCCTTCCAGTTTGGACTGTAGCATGGAAAAATAAACAACTATTCATTTCAAAAACAGTAAAAGTGATATTTTCCTTCTACATACAACTGTTGAGCTATAAAATGTTTTTTTATAAGGATGAAAAATTAAAACTAAAGATATTTCAACGTTCGTTATGTTAACTGGGGCAGCAATGAGATTCATTTAGTCTGCCTTTATGGGGGAGGGGTAAGAACTGGTCTATTTTGTTTATTGTGGTAGTTGCAGCACTAGCCCACAACAGAGAATAAAAAATGACTGAATGAATGTTGATTTTACAGACTTCAAGCACATAAATACTTTTTGAAGATCACATGGGTAGTAAGAACAGTGGAGTTAGGATTCAAAGCTTGGCATGTCTCCAAGGCACTGTGTCCTTTTGTCCCACAACAAACCTGACACACAGTTCCACTCCTTACCAGACTTCCTGACTCTGTTTCCCCAGTATCATCAAATCTTGTCTTGGCCAAAAGAGGAGGCAGGAGAAGTGGTAGGTGATATCTTGGTAGGGCAGATATCCATTGATACCATCAAAGCCCCTTCCAAGGTTGCCCAAGAAATTTTACCTCTAGTTCCACCTTTTAAAATCTGAGCCCCACACTTCCAAGATATTGAACTATATTCTAAATTATGGAATAGATGAGACATCTAATAGATAAGCATAGTCACATTAACAAACGAGTAAAGCCAAAGCCCATGACAATAGTCCTTAAGAACATGGTGTCCAGCCTATGTGAAATACCCTCCCCTTGCTAGATATGGCTGAAAGCACAGCAGATCTCTGTGTCTGTGGCAGGTGAAGAAAGATCCTCAATTATACCCCCAAATAAAAGGTATTAGCAAGAGAGATTCAACACCTACAGTCACATTCAGAGTTACAAGGTGTTAATGAGCAAGATATACCAAGGAATGTATTTTTCCCCCTTGGCTGCCTGGTTTCACTGTTGAAGAACATTTTAAACCTCAACTTGAGAAACCATGAGTTGCGAGGGTTTCCTGTATTGTGAATAATGCCATCTTCAAGATGAGGGACTTCCAGTGAAACACAGTGCAGCAAACAGGATCTTGAATTTATTGCAGGGGGTGGTGTGAGTTTACCAAAATGGAGAATGATGAGAAGTAACTAAATTATGTATGACAGACTTTACGGAGCAGAGGAAGGAGGAAAGTTTAATGATGTTGTGGTTGAGGGACCAGAGCAATTGGTGATGTATTGGGTTATAGGTTAGTAAGAAGAGAAATGGATCTTTGAAGACCCAAAGACTACAGATGAGTGTGACAAAAGCTAAGTGTAAAGGGGGAGGGTAGGGGCACAAAATGCAATGCATTTTAATGGCAATGTAACAGTCAAATCGAGTCAATTTGACATTGAAAATCATCATCTTAATCGATGTAGCTCTTTCAAGCCTGCATTTTATCAAGGAAAAAAAATAAATCTATAGTTAACAGTGAATTATTTCTCCCTTTCGCTTTTCCAGCATCTACTGAGGAGTACATAATTTAATTATTGAATCTACAGGCTGGACCATGGAAATGAAGAATGATGTGTCTGCTGTAGTGAGAAATTAGATAGAACCAACTGTTTGTTCTCATCGTTCTTCCTCTGTTGGGCTAAATTAATACAGTTAACAAGCTTTTGTTTGGATTAGCAGTTCAGATCTGAGATGTGCTGATCAGAACTCATGATTATTACAGTAGCTATTATTTATGGAGTGCTGGAAGTATCCTCAAGCCCTATATGTAAAATAGGAAGGGGCTCTTTTGTCACTCTTTGTGGGGAGGGATATGCTGCACCAGACCTGGGGGCCAAATATCTGAATAGTGTAACTAAAGCTCAAGAAAAATCAGATTTAGCTCCTTGAGGCATATGATCTCAGACAGGTAACTGATGGTCTTTCCTATTTGCCCTGTTCCTTTTTCCTGATTAAAAAAAAAAAAAAAGAAAAAAAATCTGTAAAATTTTAGTGGGAAACTTTACCAGGGGAGTATCAGGTGTAATGTGTGTGCGAGGTGACAGAGGGTGGCAAGCTTTAGCAAACACCTCAGGCCTTTCCACACAATTTGGGTAGACTCTAAAAGCTGGTCAAGCAAAACGCAAATGCAAATGCAGCTTCGAGGTATTTGTGCTTCTAGGTTTAGCGCCCTCAAACACATCCCTCTAATATGAGTCTGTGAGGCCTGCACTGGCCAATTGTGCCCCGCTCCAACTCCGCAGGACACTGCCACACAGCAGGCTCACTCCACAGGCCGAAACCAGATTCCTTCACTTCCTGCCCAATTCACTTTCATCGCATTAGATTCTATGGGTCGTCTTTTAGTTACACATACAACTTATTTATAATAAAGACGTTAATGATAGATGGGGGGGTAAAAAAAAAATCACCATTACCAACAAAAACCACCCAGTCCTCAGCCGGGCGTGAAGAGCGAGTCCGGATCGGGAGAGAGTCGCGGAGCGTACCCCCACCTCCACCCCCGCGGGGTCCGGAGCGCCGCTCAGGCGGACAGGTCCTGACATCGGGGCGGGCTCGCAGCGGCCCTGTTAGCGGCGCAAAAAGTCAGGGGCAGACTCTAACAACAAAGGGGCCCAGCAACGGAAAGCAGTC